CCGGCAACCTTGGTGTTAAGCACTGTGCTCTAACCAACTAAGCTAACTGGCCGCCCCTATTTTTTTTTTAATTACAGCTGACATTCAATATTATTTTATAATGGTTTCAGGTGTACAGCATAGTGGTTAGGCATTTACATAATTTATGAAGTGATCCTCCCAATAAGTCTAGTACCCATCTGACACCATACATAGCTATTACAATATTATTGACTACATTTCCTATGCTATAAGAATAATTTTTCTTGAACATTTTCCAAGATGGTGACTCCCTGCTGCCACAAGCACAGGTTTGCAGAGCTTCTCCTGGGGTATCCCTGCCAGAACCTGTTTCACAATCAGGAGTGAAGGACCCCTTCAGAGCAGGGCACTGATACATCAGGCCCAGGCCCTTTGGTCTTCAAAGTCAATCAAGACAGGGTCTAATCCCTCCTCCCTGTTGGGGCCTGGGAGCAGCTCAGCAGCAGGCAAGAGAAAGGTAACTTTGCATTTACTGTTTGTATAATTTTTGTCTGTTCCCCTCTCCCTGCTCAGCATTCTGTCCTCAGCCCCTGGCACTCTGTAGCTCCATAAATACCTGCTGAATGAAAAGAGGGTGAAAGCTTCTGCATAAAGAGAGACATGGAAGAAATGTGGTGCCTGTGGCCCCAGACTTGGCCTCCCTTGCAGAGGCCCCAGGGAGGAGGAGTAGTAAACAAAGATGCCCTTGTCCAGGCTCCAGCCTCACCCCCTTCATTGTTCTACTTTTTGCTGCCTCCAGTGGGGGGTGGGGGGTGGAGATGTGTTCCTTTGTCCTGCTTCCTGAATCCCTCTCCGACTGGGTGGAGGTGGCATCTGCCTCTTTCCTCTCCCTTCTTCCTAATCCTGATGGCTCACCAAAGCCTGGACCTTCTCTGTGGGGGTGCAGAGGAAAGGGTGTCCGTCCATGCTCCCTCTCCCAGTCCTCTATCCTCACTGTTCCCAGGGCCTGCCACACAGATCCGGCTCCAATGAAATTGGGAAACTCAGGTGAGAGTGGGAACGCCAACCAACATCCCTCAAAATGTGGGCCTCAGACAGGAACTGTTTGTTCCTGGTCCCTGGAAAGAGCAAGTTCAGATTATGAGGGTGTTTAGAAATGTTAACTTGATAAAGTACTGTTATGATTGTTGAATCTAATCATTTTTAACGGGGTCTGAATGAGCAATCAAGCCATGAAAAGGCACGGTGGAAACTTAAATGCATATGACTAAGTGAATGAAGCCAATCTGAAAAGGCCACATACTGTATGATTCTAACCATATGACATTCCGGAAAAGGGAAAACTGAGGAGACAGTAAAAAGTTCAGTGGTTTCCAGGAGTTAGTTAGGAGTGAGGGAGGATGAATAGGCAAAGCCCAGAGGAATTTCAGGGCAGAGAAGCCACTCTGTATGATACTATAGTGATGGGTACATAGTATTCATTTATCCAAACCCTTAGAATGTGTAACACCAAGAGTGAACCCTAATGTAAACTATGGACTTTGTGTGATTATGATGTATCAGTATAGTTGATCAATTGTAACAAATATACTATTCTGGTGAGGGATGTCGATAGTGGGAGAGACTGTGCTTGTGTGGGGGCAGGGGTAGATGGGAAACCTCTATACTTTCTGCTCAGTTGTGCTGTGAACTTAAAAGCTGTTTTAACAAATAAAATAAAAGGGGGTTGCATTTTACATGTCTTTTTTATTACTATTATTTCAGTTTCCTGGTAAATCAGTGCTATGGACTGAATGTTTATGTCCCCTCAAAATCCATTTGTTAAAGCCTTAATCCCCAACATGATGGTATCTAGATTTAGATAATTGAGTTTAGATGAAGTCATAAGGTTGGAGCTCCCATGATGGGATTTGGGCCCTTATAAGAAGATGAAGAGATCAGAGCTTTCTCTCTCGACTATGTGAGGACAGAGCAAGAAGGTGTCTGTCTACAAGCCAGGAAGAGAGTCCTCACCAGACAATTAATCTGCTAGCACCTTGATCTTGCACTTTCCAGCCTCCAGAACTGTGAAAAAGAAGTGTTTCTGTTGATTAGGCCACCCAATCTGTGGTATGCTGTTCTAGCAGCCCAAGCTGACTGAAACAGTTTTCAGTCCATTTATTGTAATTTACAAAAGTTTTTGTTCCACAACAAATCAGAGAGGAAAAATTGGTCCTTCATCCCAAATAGTTCGAGAAGCTCTGAACTACACCCACAGCCCTGGTCCAAGAGCCAGAAGTACTGGTCTCCTGCCGCTGCTCTGCTCTTGGCACTGAGCCTCAGTTTCCTCATCTGCAAGCTGAGGGGGTAGAATGACTGGACCTAGCCAACGTGCCCAGTCAGCAAATGTCTGGGTCTTTTGGAAAATATTGCAAACTCGGGCATTTAGGGGAGACGGGGACCTTTCCCACAAATCTCACCATTGGCAGGGGTGGGGGGAGGGAGGTATTCCAAAGAAAGCAAGTCTTGGGGCAATTCTGCCAGCCAGACACAAACTTTCATTGGCAAGTTTGCACAAGACAGTTTGCAAGCTTAGGAAAGTCCTACTCTCTGTCCTCAGACACATGGATGCACAGCTTTTGTGAAAGGTTAAGGCAGAGGTGACATCATTCTAAAGGAGCAGCCTGTGTCCTGGTCCATCCTGTAACAATCTTATAAGTGGGGGCCAGATTCTTTTACCTCATTGGTGCAGAGACAACGCTTCTAACCAGCCACAGATTTGAATATCGCGTATACTTCACCAGTGAAAACTTACTCCATATCCACCTCATGGTAATTAATCAAACCTCTGGTATAAGTTGGTCACTACATTTGAAATGCTTCATCACCCCCTCTGGACTGTGGATTCCTAAGGTACTCCAAATGCAAAAGAGGTGCCCTCCCCATGTATATGAAATTATGTATGCATATGTGTATCACATTATTAATGCTTAAGTATTTTAAAGTCTATTACACACAAACAGGGAGATGAATCAATGTGACCTCTAAGTTCCTTCCCCAGGCAAATATATATAAAATACTGTATTAGATACTAATAATATATATAGTAATATGTACAATATATTTTTAACTTTAACATTCCTTAAAGTCTGAGAAGTAAGACAGAAGTCAGTTTTCTGATGCCACCAATACCTTCACATGCAAGGTCAAATCTTCAAAGCTGAGACAGGTCTCCACGTCCTCCTTATGTGTGTCAAGCGATGCCATGTATCTTCACGTTCTCCTTCCCTCTTCCGGTTGTTGCTGGCAATTTCCCTTTCCTCAGGATTGCAGAGACCATCTCTGGGACTGTTCCCCCAAGGCTAGAAGCAGACGCTGACCACACTTGTCTTCCCTGAGCTTTCATGGCAGGTGGTAAGGTCTGCAATGGCATTTGGAGGTGAGTGGTAAGGCGTTCAGAAGGGGCAATGAAAAGGGATGTAGCTGGGGAGAAAAAAAGCCCTCCTAGAGTGGGGAAAAAAACAGAATTCTAGAAAGGTGAGAAAGACCCAGACACGCCTGAGTGGGGGAAGGCCAGGTCTTGTCTCCCCAGCCATGGGGGAAGGGGAGCAAACTGGTGGGCTGTGAGCTCCTGGCCTCACCCCAAGCCACTCGGTCAGGGGCAAATAAATAGCCATAAGCAACTGGAGGAAAGCAACTGGCCTGGGCTACATGGGTGATCCGTGGGTGTCAGAGAGCCTGGGGGAGGCCTGAGGCTTGTAACACAGTGGAGACTCTCAAAGAGGGCAGCGGGGACTTGCCCCAAGGAAGTGGGTCAGCCACCAGTGGACTGCTATGGTGCTGACAGTGAGGACTTCTAAAGAAATGGAAAGATAGTTTGTTTGCATGGGGAATTCAGCACCTGGGGATAGGTGGATGAGAACAGAGAAAATGCCATTCCAGGAAACCCCTGTAAACCTTCTCTACCAACACAGCTCGCCCAGGGAAGTGGGCCAGGCCCCCGCCTCTTCCCAGGCCCCCATTCTCCCTTATTTCCATGTCTGTTTCCACAGCTCACTTTTTGCCTCAGCCCAGTGCCTCCAAACAGTCTTTCCCTGACCTCCTCACGCCAGTGCTCACTCTGGCAAAGGCTGTGGGCTGGGAGCCCGGCGTGTCTGTATTTCCATGAACCAAGCTTGAAGTCTTAGCAACCACTTTCTCATAGAAACAACAAATGGCAAACTGCTACTATGTGGGAGGTTGGGGGATCGTTTCTGGAGATGGGCTGCTGGGGTGTGAATGGCATCTCTTACCACTTAACTTCTGAATGACCTTGGATAAATTGCTGAACCTCCTTTTCCTCATCTGTATAATGGGCATAATCACAGCTCCCACCTTGTAGGCTGGTGTGAGGGCGCATGAGAGTGTGTAAAACCCCCAGCACAGGGCCTGAAGCCCAGGCAGTGCCCAGCGAAGGTAGCAGTCCTCTCCTTTGCAGAGCCTCTTTGTTCAGCGCCTTACCATATCCTTTAGCCCACATCCTGACCTAAATTAATCTCTTCTATGCATGTGACCTTTGGAAATGTAAATTAAATTGGTTACTCCGGTTGAAAACTCTTCCATGGTGCCTCACTGTCAGCATAAAATCCAGCCTGAGCCTCCTGCTACCTCTCCCCTCCTTTAGGGCTGCTTTCACAGCAGCCTCTGGTGCTGGGGGGCCTTTCACTGGCCATTCCCTCTGCCTAGAACACTGTTCCCTATCCCTCAAAGTTCACTTTAAATGTCAGTTCCTCAAAAGCCTTCTCCAACCGCTTCCTTCCTTCTTAGCACCAATCCCTAATCTGTGGTGACTTGACTGATTTATTGCTCATGGTCCCACTAGAAAGCAGCTCCCTGAAGTCACTGAGCCACACACTGGCTGAACGAATGAAGGACGCATTGTTATCCATGGGGATCGGCAGCTATGGAGATTAAAGTGGTTTGGTGGCCTGCCCAAACCGGACCACCCCTGCTCCAAGTTCCAAACCGTCAGAAAAGTGAGGCGTGTCCACCTCTGCATACACAAATGCTGTACATCGAGCCCAGAAGTCCAAAGTAAACATTTTTATTCTCAGTTCTGCCTTAGCCATCTCTAGTTTTGCAAGCATGAATAAATGGAATCAACAAGAATCCTCTCCCTAAATGTCTTCCATTACAATTTGTCACTGAAAAAGTCTCCTGTTTTTCCTAAAGAGAGTATGCTTTCAGGGTGACCTAAGATGAGGCTTGCCGATTTCAGGACATCAAGGGGAAGCATCCTGCTTCCTTGCCAACTCCTTTGTCACTGAGTGCAAGGCCACAGGGGGTTATCAATAGCAGCGCAGCAGATCTGTCCTTCCAGCGACAGAGAACTCGGCGGCGGCGGCGAGGGAGAAAGCCGCGACGGCTGAGGGGCAAAGGCTCATTAGCCCCACGTCTGCCCACACCCAGGCAGGGGGCCCGGCAGAGGCAGGGGAGGCGCTACATTCACAGCCTCCAGCTTGATGCTCCCGCAAACCAAATGAGCCGCGAAGAACCTGTTCATTCCCGCCTTGAACACCCTTGGTCAGCAGAAAGGAGAGCCAAAGAGGGGGAAGAAAATGTCCTCTGAAGTGCCCTCCTTTTTGAGGAGTTCCCAGAGGGGGACCCCAACTGCCAGGCAGCCCGGAAATGACATGGTGAGGAGGAGGATCCTTCCCCTCCAAGAGAGCGGCCTTCAGCCTTCCGGGGGCCGTCTTCCTTCCTTCCCGCTGCTCCTCAGGTCACTGCAGGCGTCTGGCCCCGTCTGTTCACAGGACAGTCTCTCGGATGACGCCGATTAGGCTGTGAGGCCGCTCAGCCTCCACGCGCCGGGGCCTTCTCTCGGCTCTGGGCCTCCCTGCCACGACGAAGGTGCTCAGGTCTCCGCAACTCCGCAGGTGCAGCAGACCGGGCTGTCTCCGCGAGGGCAGCAAGTGGGTCCCGGAAGCGCTGGGCTGCAAGGGGGCCATGATCTTTGGGAGAATAAACAGGGTGGGGAGAGGTTAAGCTTCACCAGACGTGGTCCTGGGATATGCCTCCTCTATCCATCCATGTCATGTTTAGTGGCCTTGAGAAAGAAAAAAGGGTATTTTCCCAAAGTGGAAGCCACTCAAAATTCCAGAGAGGCTTTTAACCTATTGCCTCTTTTCTCAAGTTCCTAATAAATTCCCCAAATTTCCTATGGTTTCAACTGTAGACCTGCCTCACTTCACGGACTTATCTATTGTGAGGTCTTGCTTTATATTTAACATCCCCCAAAAAAATTGGAAATTTTTTTTCCAATTTCCCTGTGGTCTAAGCCAGTGATTCTCACTGGGGTTTGCACATTACAGGAGGGGAGGGCAGCCTGTCAGAAACATGGATTCCTGTCTCCTCCCACATCAATTCTGACATGTGCATCTGGAGTGGGGCTCAAGCATCCGTACTTTTAATAAGAACCCAGGCGATACCGATATACTTGAAAAATTGATAACCATTGGTCTGGTATTGTGACCAGGTAATGAGTTTATAAAATGTCAACCAAAACCGATGATGCTTCCTTCCAACTGATCTAACAACCCTTCAATAAACAACATCACAACTAGACCAATTTACTTGTAAGAACTCTTCAGAATAGTTCCACTGCTAGATCTATTTTTGCAATGTGCCACATATATAACTTTAAATATTGGGTTATCGGAAAAGTCATGACGAATTTTTGCAACGAAAAACATAGAAAAAATACGTCATGACTTTTCCGACAACCCAATATATCCTACTATCGCTTGCTTTGTAAAAATGGCAAAAATATGGAAAATCCCTCATCCAATTGGGATTGATGAGTACATTCACATATTTTAAATTGCACAGTCACGTCTATATGACCAATAATACTATTAGCATGTTGGGGAAAACCCAGGTGCTTTATTATCACCAACGTCATATAATAATCATTGGGATGACTTTTTGTTTAGTTTTTACCATTTTGAGATTTTAATGTCATTCAAAGGTTAATCCCCTAAAGAGATGAGACATTAGATTTGCTAACATTCTATTATTATTTGTCTTAAGGCCTGTCCTAGTTTCCTGACTGAGAAGAAAATTCCAACATTCATAGATATCAACTGCTGTTATGCATAAGTTCAGGCCCATGGTTTTGATATTGCTAAAATTAAAACGGATCTAAAAATGCATTCTAGCAATAGAGAGAGAGTGACAATGTGCCAAATCTGGGTAGAGTCAGAAATAAAAGTTCCTCTTTCCCTGAGCCTGCCTCCTTCTGTCTGAGGAGGGTGAGGCGTTCTGAGCCATCACGAATGGGCTCCAGTCCTGGAAGGTTCTAGCAGATGAGCTCAGTCAACTGCCAATCCCAGTACCTGAGCTTTTACCCAGTCTGTGCACAGAGGCCCAGCCAATATTTGTAGTGATAGCATCTGTTGGACCTGAAGTGCTTGTTCTTTTCCCCTAGAGTGATTTTCTAGCAAATAAGACTTTCCAGAAGGTTCAGACCAACTGTCTGGCAGATGCTCCAGCTCTCACCTCACCAGAGCTTGGAAGCCTTTGGGAAATGACTCCAAATACTTGCTCCTGTTTAGCAGGTATCAGATGGACAGAGGGTATGAGGGAGGGAATGACATCTGGCGTAGACCAGGGACACCAGGATGTAAATGTCTCCCCTATGCCGGCAACTACCTAGAGCCTGACCCAGGACCACTGGCTGGCCACTGTTAGCAAACAGACCGCAAGAGGGTCCACAGTTCATGGACATCTTCATGTGAGTCATCGAATGGCTCTTCTGCTCTCCTGGATCCCCGGAGGGACTAGGAGAGAATTTGGCTTCTGGCCTCTGTAGGAAGAGGCCGGCAGGTAAAACAGGGCAACAGAAAAGAAGGTGACGGGGGTTTATTCAATCTTCCTGAAAATTTACCTAGGATCCTGTAGTTGGTAATGACCCTAAGAATCAGCCCACTTCAACTCAGGAATTATTTGTTGGGCACTTAATGCACACAGGTACAGCCAGGTAACACTGTGCACTGATGTCGTCAACAGACAGCCCACATACATGGAGCAACGAAATAAATGCCTCAAAGGTGACTCAATAAATGCCTTAAAGGCTTTTTTTAAAAAGGCGGGTAATTAAAGCTGAGAATTTCCTTCTCATCAGAAGGAAATTCCCTGCATTCAGAAATACAGGTGTAGAGACCACCTAGTCTAACCCTTCACTTTAAAGATGAGAAACCTGACACCTAGGTGGATCATTTACAGGCCCAATTGTATCTTTTCCCTGGTGGTTTCTGTTTGGGGGATTGCCTTGTACTTTTTAACCTATGGAAAGGAAAAGGTGTTTATTCCTGTCCTATCAGCTTAGGTATCTTGCTAAAGATTGCATGGGAGTATGAACAGCTCCCAGAATCTTGCCAATATTAAAATTCATGTATGTCTATCATTGTCAAAGGGCTGAAAAAACATGTCATGAAGGGAAACTTTCAACATAGGAAATCAAAGGCTGAATGTGCCCCACACTGCTCATACCCCTTGCTTTTATCTCCAAGCTACACCCTTTTGTTTTCAGGCATACTTCCACATCCTGGGGAAAAATGGGTTTGTCTTCCTTTGGGCCAAGAACTCTGTGGAAAAGCCACGACACCTGAAAAGAAAGGGTTCCAGCTTCCTCTCTTTCCCTTCACAGACCTCCTAACCACATTTCCCTGGATACAATGACCATGAACTTACTGTGCCTTGGACAGGAAATCGGAGAAGCAACTTCAGCTGGTATGGAAATGAGTTATCTGACTCACACCAGATATTAAACATAAAACTACCTGTTCTAGGAAACTGGCACTTGTGATGGCTTCCTCCATATGCTCTTCGTCAGACTTCAAAACAGATTTAATGTTTTCTACAAGTTCATGGATGTCCGGGGTCATACTGCAGGAGGACTGCTCCAGGAACCTTGCCACCAGCAGCTTGGTGTCTATGTAAGATCTGTAATCTATTAGAGACCGGGGTCTGCATCGCGAAGCTCTGGGTCTCAAACCCCTCCTCAAGGTCACGGCAGTCAGATCCGGTCTTCCCTCCGTCTGAGTTGCAGCTTCACAGCTGAGCACAGGGGCGGCTGTGGGCAAAGACAAACAACACGTACCCATTGGCCATGCCCCTGTGCACACGCACCTGCGTCTGAAACAACACAGACCACTAAACGCAGTATGGAAAGCTTGGAACAAATGCCGACAGCCATGCACATCTTGCTTTTCATTTTGCAAAAGGAAAAGGAAAACAAAACCAACTACTAGGACAAAAGCTCATTTCCTGATGTGTAGTTCCAATAGAACATGTCCCCAGAACGTTTTATTGTGCCACATAAAACACAACCCCCAAGGTAAAGATAGGTGACAGAGAAGAGCATCCAGAAGGCAAACCATTACGGGGCATCAGTTTCACGGGGTAATAACCAATATATGGGGATGGATGGGGCAAGCAGACAAAAACAAAACAAAACATGGCTGACTGATGAAAGAACATTCCAAGGGCAGGGGAGGATGAAGGAGCCACTTAGAGAGAAGGACTGAGGAGAGACAAGACTTGTGGGGTGGATGGAATGTCTGTCCGCTTTGACTGTACCTGTGTCCTAAACATCCTCAAGGGCACTGTGCTGCCTTATATTACCAATGCTCACACCACGGCTGTGAGGCAGCTCTACGGCTGACTATTACAGAAAGAGAAGTCTAAGTGCAGAAAAATTACACGTCATTCCAGAAGTCAACAGCGGGCCTGGGCAATCCAGCTCAGGCTCTAATTTCCACAGCTACCTACTTCAGCAAGGGCATAAGGACTGGCAGGACATTTCTACACTGGCAAGGCTGTGAAGTGAAACTGGGGCCTGGTCTCCACATGTTCATAAGCCAGCCAGCAGCCTTCTGTGTACCCGGCACAGGAGATTTCAGTCTGCGCAGGCCTGATAAGCAGGAATTTAGATATTCAAGGAGGAAAGGAAGTGGGGGGAGGGGAGAATAGTGGAGGAAGGGGAGCAGCATCCTTTTCCTCTGAAGAAAGGGAGGCGTGAGGCTCTCTAAACAAGGGTTGGCAGCACTCCTCCTAGGCTGCCATATGCATATCACAGAGAGCCGGAATCTTCCAGGAATACTCCCTACAGATGCTCATGGACAGAGTCAGGACTACACACTCAAGTCACTTGAAGGCCACTTGGTCCCTTCCACAACGGGGTCCCTTCCTCCAACAGGGAAACATGGCATCCTCTCCCCTGCAGCACTGCAGGGTGGAAAGGGGTTCTGGGAAGATCTCTCTAAGCTGTGCACACAGCAAAGTTCCTGTTGAAGCCGGCAGGTGGCCAGCTCGAGTCCTCAACTTGCCAGGTAGGGCAGAGACCCGCAGTGCAGAAGGGTCTGGGGAGCTGAGGAGCCAGGCTGCCAGCCTGCTGGGGTTGCAGAGGTGTGCTCAGTCCCAGGTGGTGGGACTCCTCCCCACTCAGAAGCCACAGCAGAGACAAGAGGGCTGTTCTGTCTGGCTCCCACACGGTCAGTCCAGAGCTGCGGCAAACAACACAGGCTGTCAGAGGGACGGGACCAGACTGGAATGGGGCGACACAGGGCCCCAGAGAGAGCGGGGTGAGGATATTATCTGCAGAGAGCGTGAGGAGAGAGCATAGGCCCCCTGTGAGAACGGGTCACCGAAAGAAGACGGTGCTGGTAGGGTTACAAGTTTTCATTTTCTTCCTTTGTTTCCTTTATATTTTACAATTTTCTACAACGAAGACATATTTGGAGATGTCTGGGTATTCATATACTCAAAAAAAAATGCCGCAATGTTATTTTACATTTTTTTAATTAAAAATAATTTTTAATGAATTCAGATAATATCTACACATAGATATCTACAAAACAGAGAAGGAGGGAGAGGGAGTGTGAGTTTCACTCCATCCAAAGTTCTTAAAACAAGGTCAGATTTAAATAATTCAATTTACTCATACACAGTAAAAATATAACTAATATTAAATTATAGAAGAGGGGATTTAAAAAATACATCGCTTTCACTTTTTCCTTGAGAGAGAATGTTTATTCCAGGAGGATTGCGAGCATCTAGAAATGAGAACTAGGTTTGCCTTATTTTGTTCGTGGAGTACCTACTACAATATCATGTGCAACCAAATACTTTTGATGAAAATGACTTAAAAAGAGAAAAAAAAAGAAACCCTACCAGCCTTAAAAGATGTGGCAGAAGTATATTCCTAATATGTAAGTAGACTACCTTATTGGGTTGTCGGAAAAGTCATGACGTATTTTTCTATGTTTTTCGTTGCAAAAATGCATCATGACTTTTCCGACAGCCCAATATTTTCCCAAGACCTCTTAACTTCCTTTACGCTATCTCTTGAACCTGAACCACAGGGCCTGGGGTGAACAGAGCCACCTGCTCTCACCTGGCACCCTGAGGCAAATAAGTGCTCTGCGGGGAGCTTGGGGAATAACCTCACCTCTCTCCGTGGAATGATGGAGCACAGGGTCACTCTTCGATCTTGTCCTCAGCGGTTGGAGGACTCTTCTCGCGGGATGTTGCTGGTTTGAGTTGGGTGTTGAAATAGATGCACTTTCTTCTCCAGGTGTGTTAGGAATGTCCCCACCTGATGTTTTTTGTTTGTTTGTTTTAAAGAGAAGAAACAAAAATTATCTCACCAGCTGCAGCCTCCAAAATGTCAGGCAGGAAACACCTGTGAGCCCAAACCTGCCGGGGCGAGGGTAATGCAGTTAACAACATTTGCTTAGGCTGCTGGCCCAGGAACTTTTTATTTCCCGGCACTATGGGAAAGGCTGCCCCTCCAGACCTAAAACAAACACAGACCTTTACATCCAAGAACAAAATAAAGATGCCCTGCCAAAATGTTGGGGTTTTTTTTTTTCCTAAAGGCGCTTAGCATTTTCTCCAGTGAAGCATGCTGGTGCAGCTTCAGGACTAGAAAGCTCCTAGCCATCTTATAGTTTCTGACCATTCAGTGTGAGCTTGCCAGGGTGGAAGGTAACACCCACACAGGTGAGGTGGCTTCCCTGCAGGCTGCAGATCCAGTGCAGGCAGAGGAGGTGTCTGCAGGCCGGGCTGTGAAACTCCAAGAGAGCCAAGTTAAAGAGCCACGGGCCAGTCAAGGACTCGGTAAAACCACTCCAGAACTGGATACCTTCTGCTCAGGAAAAAAAAAAAATCACAATCATTTGTGAGCCTGTGTTGTGGTCTGGGAAACTTTTTTTAAGAAATGGAAGAATTACAAACATACTTAGGAAACAGAATGCTGCTGCATAATTCTGTAGAAGATGGAAGGTGAACAGAACAGAAGCCCAGTTCTAAACGGTGCTGCTGAAAAATTACCTCTGCCTAAAATAGCTAAAAGTTGATCCATTATTTATCACCATGTGCAAATGTGTCCTGGTGGACAGCTCTCTGGGCCATGTAAAACCTCTTCAAAGAGAGAAAGCTGCAACGATGTTCCCTTAAACTATGAGAATCAATATAAACTGACGCTAGTATTTAATACAGGACTGGAAATTGGAAATCACTACATGTTAAGGCAGCATGACCTGGGCCCCAGGTCATAAAGGACAGCACAACCTCACAGCAAATCACCCTTTGATAAATGAAATTCTTTTTTCCCTTCAAAAGAGCTCATCGTCGTTTCACAGGCAAAAATAAAAACACTGAGAATTGTCAGGCTGTTCGTAAAAGACTCTGAGGATATCCGTGTTTCTGTTTACATGTTAACTCCCCTTATAAGCCCTCAAAGTTGATAGTATTTTTACATCTCGAAAGGCTGTAACTGGAATCATTTATTCCAAGAATATCTGACCTCCAACAAAATATCATACAGCTCATTATTTGACCATGTTTGAATTCACTGAAATCACAAGTGTAGGCAGAGATGAAGGGTTTATTACCTTGAGTCACTGGCATGCACGTCGGTTCCAACGAGCTTGTGGCCGCTTCTGATCCTTCTGAGATTTGGAATGAGGATCCCTGCATCACAGGAAAAAAGAGGGATCTTTGTTGATAAACAAGTCAAGCATCCTCTGGACTCAGTGAACTTAAAAAGATCTGCGAGGCACAGTCTCCCATTGCTCTCCGTGTCGCATACTGCTTTTGCTACTTGTGGTCAACATACCAAAGAGGAACTCTGTGGACAGTACCTGGTCCTGGTCTGTCTGGTTCACCACAGCTTCGTAGGGAGGTGGGGGGTCCAGGGGACAGAAGACTTCCACACCTTTGATTCGTGCTCCGTAGATATGCGGCAGTGGAATGATGTCAGGACCGACCATCCTAGGAAAAGCATGCTGGCATCAAGAAGCATGTTCTACGGCCATGTGACATAAGTGGCTCCTGCATGGGGGCCTTTGCCGCTCAAGTGTTATCCTTAGGCAAGTGACAATGTATAAAATGTAATACCAGCATTCCTTTCCAATCCACTAGGCAAAAAGGAAACAATGATCCGTAAGAAACTAAAAGCAGATTAGTGGTTGCCAGGACTGGGGGTAGGGGGTCATGGAGAGCGACTGCTTCAGAGTACAGGATCTCCTTGGAGGTGATGAAAATGCTTTAGAACTTGATGGACGTGATGGTTGCACCATATCGTGAATGTGCTAACTGCCACTCAAGTGTATACTTTCAAATGGTCCATTTCATGTTATGTGAATTTCACCTCAAAGAAAAGAAAACAAAACAAAACCAGGGCCTCAGGGAAACTCAATTATTTCTTACATTAGTATATGACAAGTTTCTTGCCTGGGTGTCCCTAATGTCTGATTCATGCCAAGAAATCACTACTTGTTAAAAAAACATTTGAAGGGATAAACAAATTTGATCAAATAAAGCAAACAGCGTCATAGCTCAGAGACAGAGCAGCATACTGCAGGCGGAAACACAGAGTGACCCTTACTAAAGGTGCTCATTCAACAAACACTGATTGTTTGCTCTGTGTCAGGTACTGTGGTTTTGTCCTGTGGGTGAGAGACCCTTGATAGCAAAAAACAAAACCAAAAGGGAAAAACCCACAAGATATTCTATACACACACACACACACACACACACAATCTAGGTAACAAAGAACATAAATTTTAAAGGAATAGTTAAAGCTACAGGAAGGTAATATGCTAAGTGAAATAAGTCAAACAGTGAAAGATAAATACCATATGATCTCACCTGTATATGGAATCTAAAGAACAAAATAAACAAACAAAACAGAAACAGACTCATAGATACAGAGAACAAACTGATGGTTGCTGGATGTGAGGGGGTTGGGAGCTGGGTGAAAAAAGTGAAGGGATTAAAAAGTACAAATTGGTAGTTGCGAAATAGTCATAGGGATGTAAAGTACAGCATAGAGGAATATAGTCAATAATATTATAATAACTATGTATAGTGCTAGGTGGGTACTAGACTAATAGGAGGAAGGGAATCAGTAAATTATATAAATTTCTAACTACTATGCTACACACCTGAAACGAACATAAAATAATACTGAATGTTAACTATAATTGAATGTTAATTGAAATAAATTTTAAAAAGAAAAAAATAGTTAACAATACATGGAATAATACATACATGGAATAACAACAAAAATATAGTTAACAATACCTTTTAATGAAACTTCTAGTTATAAAATAAATAAGTCCTGGGGATGTAATGTACAGCATGGTGACTAGCTAGTTAATAATACTGTATTGTATGTTTGAAAATTGTTAAGAGAGTAGATCTTAAAAGTTCTCATCACAAGAAAAACTTTTAAACTACGTGTGGTGATGGACATTAACTAGATTTATTATGGTGATTGTTTTGCAATACAGACATAGCAAATCATTACATTGTACACCTGAAACTGTATTCTATTTCAATTATATCTCAATTTTTAAAAAATACACAGAAGACCCAAAAATTAAAAAGTACTGGAGTATTGGAGAATGAAAAAAAAAAAAGCAAAGTTTAATGTGTATTCTTGAAATGCAAACATGGACATAAACTAAAAAAGACTAAATACTGAGCAACTCCAGCAATCCCAGGCCCTTCCTGGACCTGACCAAAGATGCCTTCCTGACCAATGAACAAAGTGGCTTGTTTTACTCGATGAGACCAAGGGACTCGTCTGTCCTCCCCAGAGGGCCAGTCTTCAATCCTTAATTACATGTGCCATCTTTCTAGCACTTACAGGCCCTTGACTTCTCCCCATCAGCCAACTCTGCCAGCATTTGTTCACTGCTGTGCCCTTGCCTGGAAAGTTAATATCCCTGTTTGCTTGTTAGCTCTGGCGGTCTATGTTTTATGTTCCCAGACCAGTGGCTACCTAGACACAGTATGTTCACAGAAAAGAGGGAGCTTCCTTAGGGCCAAGAGGTCAGAGGAAAAGGCTTCCATTTTTAGATCCTAAACTACTCCACAATCTGTTCAAGAAGGACAACTGGTGGGTTGGGGGTGGAGGGACACACTTTATCCAAATCGACTGCAAAATAAATGGTTTCTATGGTGGCTATCAAAATGACCAGGAAAGCCTCGTTTTGATGGAAGATGCTGTTAGAGTTGATGCAGAAGGAAAGCTTCTTTCTTATTCAGCAGCTTTTCCTTATTTTATCTCTGGGTAGGTACATAAGGACCCATGGAGGGAAATGGGTCTGCTAGCTCCTGGCAGGTTTTTTTCCTGACCCCCTATGGCGCTCAACCTCAGCTACAGAGAAGAATCACCTGGGGAGGTTTCTAAACTATGAATGGCCCAGCCTCACTACTAGAAATTCTGCCCGGATTGCCTGTGGTGGGACCCAGGTATCTGTAGGTGGTCAGAGCCCCAGATCATTGCAATGCACAGCCAGGATGGAGACTGCTGTAAAAGGAAATGCATCATGGTGGCTGAAATGAAAACCCTGTTATATCTGGGAAAGGGGATCAGATTTTTATTAAAAATTAGTGTCTTAGGAAAACTGGTACCTGATAAGGTAGAGAGAGGTGTGATTAAGGGTTAAATGTTTCTTAAAAGTAAGATACGTGCCAAGAACATTTTCAACCAGGGAACTCACAATGGTAGAGCACAGTCTAAGCTTTTATTTTTAGAAAGACTTTTTTATGCCCGCTATCTCTTAACAATCCTCTCCGCAGCCATGTGACAATGCAGGTGAATGAGGAAACTGAGGCTCAGAAATGGTAAGAGATCCACCCAGGGTTATTACCCTTTTAAGAGATTCCAAAGCCTGGCTCTTTCAAGTTGATCTCAAAGTCTCCAGGAAACCTTCCCTGGTTCGTGTTCCTGGGCACTGAAGATGAATAGGAAACCTAAACAGACCATGCAAAATATGTTGTTCTGCTTCGATGCTACAAATAGGCCTTGAGAACTCATCCAAGGGGGATGGCAGCAACTAATAAAATATGCCCTTGACCAAAGAATGATCTTCATTTATGTACTGGAAAAACCATGCCCTTTTACTGGCACATGGTGGTAGGGTTGCTGCCCATGCAGGGGGGAGCGAGGCAGGGGTGCCCCGCCCAACAGCTGAGCACTGGGTCAACCCCTAGCACAGTCCGGCTCCACTTGACGGTGGGTTTTGAAGCTTGTTAGGAAAGGAAATGGATGAGTTTTGTTGTCTTCACCTTTGAGAGACTCCCAGGCAATCTGGTTCCTACTGCCTCCTCTTCAATTTTCTATAGCAAGTAACATCCCCATGGTACAGCCAGGTCCACGTTCATGACGTAGTTTGGAGACTCTCCTCTTTGACTCCTGACTCAAGCCAACTTGTGAGATTGGGGGACTCCCTAGAGTTGTGGAGACAGGGTGTGCAGCCCACTCCGGTACTTACTGATCAATTCACAAATTAGATAACCCATCTTTGGACAGAAGCCTTGACTGCAATCAAGCTTCTGTTTATGACAGTAACTTGAGAAGCCCTTTCTCAAGGAGTTACCAATGTATGAAGTGGCTGTATTTATAGAAGCTAAATAAATAAACCTCTTCTGAGAGGTCATAATACTTTACAGGAAATGGGGAGCCTTTATTGTGTTAAAACACTTAACGGAACTTATTGTGGAAATTTTAAGAAGACATTCGTTAATATTGTGCCTGCCTGCTTATGAGAAAGAAAATTACCAATTGGGGCTACACAGCCAATATCCACGAAGTTGACTTATACTAAGAATCTAGCAAAGTTGGTGAAACTTAAAAATATCTTTGATATGGGTGACCGGTTAGCTCAGTTGGTTAGAGTGTGGTGCTGATAATACCAGGGGTGCTGGTTCCATCCCGGCATGGGCGACGGTGAGCTGCACCCTCCTTAAAAGAGTCAACTGTGCCATTGTAGCATGAAAGCAATGTGTAACCAATGGCCATGGCTGTTCCCCAATAAAAATTTAAATATATATATATATATATACACACACACACACACACACACACATATCTTTGATAGAATATATATCTAAAGGTGAATAAAATTTAGCCATTTTAAAAAGGAAAATGAGCTGCCCTTTGGTATTGGTAGAATTTCAGAAAATGAGTGTTTGCCCTTTGGAAATATGACCTAGTGCTCCAGGTATATATTTAGGCCAGCAGTGTCTTCTTTCTCACAAGGGTGTTTTGCTTTAACACTCCCCACCACACCCCACCCTCATTCCTTCTGGAAAGTTCTGAATGGTAATGCCCTTGAGGAGAAACTTGTTTGTCTTCTTCCAACCTGGATTTGGCCACGGGCTGTCTCAGGACTGAGAGGGACAAATCCAGGGATGCACCCAGATCCTCCAAGAGCAGAAATACCCACACTGCTAAACATGGCTGTGGAGGAACAGAGGGGAGAAAGGAAGGAGAGAAGGGAAGGTCGGGGGTGTCTCCAGCACTCTGCTGGACAGCACAACTTCTACGCCCACATGAGTCACTTTCCCTTTCTGCTACTGCAGGAAATTAAATCTGTCTGCTGCCTCCTCTTAGGTCAACCAAGTGCTCATCCGCAACCTCAGGGAGCCAAGAAATCCTTCTTGAAGAGGGCATTTCTCCTCCCAACCGTGAAATAACAGGCATTTTTACTGTCCATCCATGTGCCCTCTTTACCCAGCCTGAGACTGGGCTAAGATTTTAGCACATGTGTCCTAATGTACACAAAGAACATGGGTTTTGTTGCTATGTCTCTCTGGCCCCTGTAATTCTTGGCTCATGTCTTAAGAGAACTGGGAAGCTGTCCTGTGCCCTGAAGCTTCAAAATTCCTGTACACCACTCCCTAAACAATAGGCAGGCTGAGCTGATCCCCAGGCCACCCCCCTGGCCCCAGCCGTCCAGCCAGCTGACATCCCCTCTGGCTTTGTGGTCATCTCAACCTCTGCCTAGGCGGTGGACAGGGGACAGCCCGGAGGTGGGGTTTAGGTATGACTCAGAGGGTCAAATCAAAAAGATAAACCATTGAAAAGAACATTAACAGCATCTGGTGGTAGCTCCCACTGCAACCTGTTTCAAAGTCACATGTGGTTGCCCTGAGCGTTAGAAAATGGAATTCAAAAAACCCCAAGCCTGGCATCCAATTTGTTTGACAGCTTTCCACATATACCTCAGGAATTAAAAAGTAAAACTTCCTGGCCCCCTGAATATCGAGCTAAAGACACTACTAGCCTTTCTGTAGCATTTAGAGATTCTTTTTTGGAAGCTTAAATATAAGCTTGCTTATGCTCTAAATTCAGCTTAAGATCACTTCATTCAGGAAGCCAACCTTGACTGGCTGGCTCTTCTTCAAGCTCTCTGCAGCCCACCCATCAGATTAGGTGGCCCTCTGTGCTCTCAAATTCTCTCTTTTGAGTACTACTGTGATCCTAACAACACTCATTTTAAATTACCTAGATTGTGAGCTCCTTGATAGGGGGAGAAGGTGAGTCTAACTCATTCTGAATCTCAATAACCCAGCACAGTGACTAGTAAGCAGCAGATTGCATAAATGTTCGTTGATTGAATAAATGAAGTTATTTAACAGAGAGTTACAATTCCAATTCCAGAAGTCACTAACAATCAGAGGAAGTCAGACAGCATTTCAGTCTACAAAAAAATAATTCTACAAGTAATAATTCCTAAGCCTTAAAAAAACAGATGATCAAGTTTTGAGCTAGAATTTGAAAACGAAAATAATCATGGTGTCTATTTTTTCTAGACCAGAGAGAAGTAATTAATAATTCATCTTCTTTTAATGGCTGAGAAGAATTTCATGATTTGGGGAACCTGCTGATGGTGTTATAATGAACATCGATTTGGCCTAACTGAGCGCGTTTCCAGGGCAACCGCAGCTCTCAATCATGTCAAATTACAGCAGTTATCTCACTGGGTGTCCGTTTTCCTAGGAAGCTAATTGAAATTGAAAAAGTATATCCTTAGGTCAAGGTTTGACTTTTCTTTGGTTTCATGCAGTTTATGAGAGAGAGAGAGAGAGAGAGAGAGAGAGAGAGAGAGAGAGAGGGAGAGAGATGGAGAAATAGAAAATCCTAAAAAACAACGCGGTATGTCTGTATTTCAGAGAGAGGTCAGAGCACATGCTATGAGATCTGGAGTCCCTTCAGTCTTCTAAACCGAGAGCACCCCACAGCAGAGAACTGGTCGGGGGTCATGGGGGGGCGTGGCTTAGGAATGATACCTGCGGTTCATCCGGGGTGTGCACGAGTAAAACGTGGCGAAATAGGACGGGGGAGGCACAGGCGGCACGAAGTCATCAGGGTCTGGGATGCGTCCATGTTCTTCCACTTCCTCGGCAGAAATCTGGGATTCATCCTAGTTAAACAAACAGCACCTCCGTGAGTCAGCAGCCTTCATACAAAGGCTGGAGGAGAAAAGCAATGGATTACACAGAAAGACGGTGGGCTGGCTCAGCAGAAACACAGCCATGGTGCCACCTTGCAGGGACTTACGCTGCAGGATCTTCTGGCTGCAAATATCTGGAGGTAGCGAAGGGCGGCTGCCACCAAGCAGACGGTGGTGGTCAGGGCATTCAAGGCACACAAGGCGAAAAGGACTTTCTAGGACAAGGAAACAATGACACCCCTGAGTATTTCAAAGCCAGTGACCGGAATGCAATATAAAAAACTTTTTAAAGTAGTATTAATAATACTGTCCCCAAAAGACAATCCTCATTAAAAAAAATGCACACGGTAAGTGCAGAAAAAAATGTTGGTGATTACTGTGACTCTCATACAATAGTGAGTGCTTCTGAATTGGCAAAACTTATCTTAGAAATTTCCTGTCCCCAAAACGCCAGATACTACAGTATTTCTTTTTATCAAGCATCAGATTACTGTCTGAAAACATTCCTTCCAGGACAGCAAGGAGTTTCTCTTCCAAAGTTGCCGTTCCCAGTGACATCAATTCCCAGCCTCCCCCTCCCACGGCCCGCACCAGGACAGCTTGCTGCTTAATTTGTGGCCACTGATTCTATTTCAGGAGCTATTGGCAGAGCTGCCAGGGGCACACAACTAGGACAACGGAGGGGGCAGGGCTCCCGAGTGTAAACAGGGCTTTACTCTTATAAACACACATCTCAAAATAGCAGCAAAGGCAATTCCAAAAGTTTCTGTTGCCACAGTCCTGGCTCCTTAGTGGGGATTTCCCCAAGCTCAGTCCTGGCTCAGAAAGTTTGGGGGTGACTCAGCTACCAAAAATCCAGAAGCCAAAGAAAGAAGGCCATTTTTACATCCTGCAGAAACCAAAAAGCTGGCAGCCTCTCTCTCTGCTTAGAGATTGCTCCTCCCCACAAAAAAACAAACCCAAAACAAATATCTAAAGAAAGCTGTCAGTGGCAGATTTTCCAAAAGCTAAGACCTTAGGATTCACCAACACATCTTGTCACCCTCTGGGCTAACGCACCTTAAGTCAGGACACAATTTTCATCCAATTCCCGAGTAAAGGTTAATTTTGTATGTCTCTTCAACTGGGATCATTTGTTTTTAATCTCTTTTGCTTAGTATAGTTGCTGCATTTAACAAAGAAGGGAAGGGCTTGAATTTCTTTTGTGTTTTCTGGCCAATCTCTCTCCTTAGTCTGTGTGTTCCAGAATGGCAGCGCTCGTTTCCACCAACAAAGGAGCATCAGGACAACGGCAAATGGGCACGCAATTTAAAGGTTTTGCTAAAAGCTACGTCAAATATGAGTAGTTACATCATACGTGTGTACGTATGTTCATGTGTGTATAGAAACATACATACATATGTGCTCTACGTTTAGGGTCCTTTACATTTTTCCCTATCTTCTAATTCTTGAACACAAAGAAATATATAATTTAAGAGACACAATAATCTGTAACTCTGTGTTCAATTTCGTCTCTGGGTCACTGATGAGGGGTCATGTCTACTTTCAACAGTGTAGCTGTTTGAGGGAGGTCATGGGGTAGGGATATTTCAAGTAACTTTGCCTTCTCTGGGGACCCTGTGGTGTATCTATTGCTGGAATCCATTTGAGGTACCTTAAGTAGTAGGTGAACCGCGCTACAAGGCTGAACGGGGAAGAGTTTCAAGGCATTTTCTTTGTCTGTGCATTTGGCTGGTTGAAATTCTTCACAACAGAAGCAAATCTTGCCTTCGCCTAAGTCCACCTTAAGAGAGGGAGGCAGAACAATAATTTAATTATTAAGAAGAAAACACACAGGCTACCGCAATGGACCACCAATCCTACAGCATGAGATACGGCAGGGTTCAGAGTCAGGGAGTGTCTGTATCAGGACAGGCTAGGGTGTGCTGTGGTAGCAACCAGCCCGCAAATTCCAGTGGCTTAACCAACCAAGGTATTTCTTGAATATGCTACATATCCACTGCAGGTCAGCAGGGGACTCTGTTCATCCTATTCCCTTAGAGACCCAGGTTGATGGTGCATCTACCATCTCAGGATTGGTCATCACTATGCCAAAGAGACGGAGAACACAAGATGAATCACACATCAGCACTTAAAGTAGGGTTGCCAGATACAATGCAGGATGCTCTGTTAGACTTGAATCCAGATCAATAACAGACCATTTGTTAGTATATGTCCCAAATATTGCATGAGACATGTTTATAGTAATAAAAAAATTGGCATTCCAATTTAATTGGGTGTCCTGTATATTTATTGGCTAAATCTGATAACCCTAGCTTAAATCTTCCTCTTGGAAATGACACTCATCACTTTAGCTCACATATCATTGCCAAAGTAAGTCATAAGGCCCCACCAAACTCCAAGAGAGCAAGAAAGTGCAATCTAACATGTGCCTGCAAGCAGCACAGGGTATATTTGGTGTACAGTAGCCCTATTCCATGCAGGCTTAAAGAGATGTCTTAGTTCACATCTTCCATGTTTTCTTTATTGAAGTGATAACATCACTGATGAGTAATCTCATATATATATTTTTAGTGAGATGCTCTGCAAACTTCTGGTCACTTTTCCAAGTTTCCCTTGAGTCGAGTTGTGAAACTATGTAACACCTGATTATGGCTCATAAAACCCATAATCTAGAAGCAGAGGTTTGTTCTTACGTGCTCTGCTGCTTGCGCTGTTGAAGTTGACTATCCTATCTTGGCTGAAAAGGAAAGCCACACCTCTTTCACACTTGTTATTAATCAGGCAGCTTTGACTTACTAGCTGCAAATTTCTGGAGGAATCTTTAAGAATGACTGGACAGCTACAATGCTTTTGTCGCTAAACAGGAAAAAAAAATGTTTTTTCTTATTGAAGTAAGATTCTTACAATCTAGCCTTAGTAATAAATTTCATGGTATTTTTCCAAATTAGGAGAAAATTTAGTTCCTTATAACACAAGTTGACTAGGAAGCTAAAAAAAATAATAATAAGTCCACTACCAGATTACACATTTTTTGGCTTGGTTGTAGTTTTTCTTCTTTTTTTCAGATGGAACACACACACACACACACACACACACACACACACACAATTTACATGCACAAATCTAAGCATACCATTCAAGGAATTCTGAGCAATGCATACACCTGTGTAACCCAAACCCTGATGAACATAAAGAGCTTTAGCATCACAGGAGTACGTTTCCTCATGCCCCTCCCCATCGATCGCTGCCCACACCCTCCTGGAGACAAGCACTGTTTTGACTTTTTTCTACACAGATTAGTTTTGCCCCTTCCAGAACTCCAAGGATCCTGTAACAATTTTTATTCCTTGTCCTTAAAATCACATTGAGAGGGATGCATTATTATATCAAACACTGATGCCCAGATTTTGATATAAATTCTGCCTCTGATACAAAGAATTACAACTAGAGTTACCTCAACAGACTCCATAATCTATCAATTCATCTCCATTTGGTGTCTGTCCCTTCCTGGTTTGTTCACGGGGGTTATCTCAACAATGTCCTCACACCTAGATCCAAAACCCACCCATCCCACCCCACCCCCACACACACAAGGGCACAAGGCTGTTTGTATTTGAATTTTTCTTCCTTTGTCTCACATTTTTGAAGATATATCCTGCTGCTAATATCTATACTTGCCTTCTGAAGGAAAACTACTGTGCCCATGCAGACAGGATATGTCTCTGCAGGGTCTAGGCCAGTGGGAACTTTTCTCTCAGGGATGCTGGCTTTCTCCTGGCTCCTCTTCCATAATTAGTAACACTCCTTACACTGGACTGAATTCAGCAGGTAAATAGTACTCCCGGGGGGCTTCCTCCTTTAAAGTCTGCAGTTGAGAATTTCCTGTTTCGATAGTTACAGCACTATTTAGTAGTAACAAAGAAGCAGCTAACAGAAATGATACATTCTGCACATGGATACTTCCTGCTCATGTCCACAAGGCCCTCTTCTCCCCAAACAGGGGCACCAAGCTTACTTTTTCCAGCATGACACAGGGCAATTTCTATTTCTTGTACTTGTGTAAGCCTCAAGATCTTACCTGAAGATCTTACCTCCCTCAGGTAAGATGAGGTGTCATCTTACAAAGGACTCCCTTCCCACAACCAGTCCATTCTTGATACAAGCGTTAAGAGAGAAGCCATGCCTGTGTGGGCTGCACACACGTGGCTGCATTAGTCATACAACACCAGGCACCCCCATAGACAGAAACCTCCGGGGTGAGCCAGTCTGGATGGCAAAATTCTTCAGATGAGTGAAGGTTAACCCCTTTAAACAAGATGATTTGGAAGTTTAATGATTATGCAAATGACAATGCATATCAATTCGTGTGCCCAGCTAATGCAAGAAGCCCCGAGGCTCTATACAAAATGATTCTAGGCAACTGGTGCATTTTGTGTTCAATGTTCTTCCTGTTCCTGATCCTTCACCTCCCTTCTTAATCCCATCTCTGCTCAATGTTTCTAAAAACTAATTCTAACTTCACGTCAATCTCTTTAACCTACCTGCAAACAAACCTGTTCAAGTCTCCCCAATCCTAAGTGAAAAACATCCGTCCTTCAATCTTGACACTGTTACCCGACGATGTCATCCTCTCCTTCCTCCCACTGTCACCTAGTATTTTGACTCTCAACCCTAGACGCTTCTGGGAAGCTTTAAAAAGAAATGGTGATGTGATCTTTAGCAATAGGGAATTGTAAACTAAAGTAAGGATAAGATCCCCCTAGAGCCCCATCAGGCTGGCAAAAAATTAAAGAGAGAAAAACAGTTGTCGCTGGTAGAGGGTCACTGGTAGAAATGTGAGTTGAAGCCCTTTATTAAAAGAACTGGCAATACATTCTAAATTAAAAATACGTATTCCCCAGCCACTTTGAAAAACCATTTAGTAGTTTTTTATAAAGTTAGCCATGCAATTGCCAAACGACTTGGCAGTTCTACTGGTATGTATTTACTTAAGAGAAATAAAAACAGGCCTTCCCACATACACACACACACACACACACACACACACACACACAATCTATCCAAAAATATCGCCCTTTAATTCCTCCAAACTGGAAACGCAAATGTCCATCACCAAGAGAACGGATAAAATAAATTGCAGTATTTTTATACAGTGAACTATTGCACTGCCAAAAAACAAATAAACAAAAAAAGCAAACAACTGATATAACACAAAAACAAAAACATGAATCTCAAAAATTTCATGTTTAAGCAAAATAAGTCAGACACAAAAAGGTACCTATCACATGACTCCATTTATGTGAAGGTCAAGAAAAGGTGAAACTAATCTATGGGGAAAGAAACCGGAACAGCAGTTGCCTATGACAGAGTAGATAGAGACTCACTGAGAGGAGGCACTGGAGGACTTTCTAAAGTGCTGAAAACATTCTAGGTCTTGTTTGGGGTATACAGATGGGTGTATTTGGCAAGATGAAAATACACATTGGTCAAAATTCAATGAACTGCACACTGAAGAAGTGTGCATTTCACTGTTTGAAAATTTTATCTCAATTAAAAAAATGAATAGAGTCATCAAGTGGTTGAATGTGCAACAAAAAGTAAGACAAGCAGAACAATCCCTGTCCTGGGAAGTGACTTCACTTCGGGGAAAGCCCCCACAGGGAGAAGCGGGATGGTCTTCTAGCAGCATCGTTTCTAGTGGACAAAACCCAAACCACAACAGACAAAAAAAAAAAGAGAGAACTAACCTGTAAAGAAATAAAGGGTGTTACATCTGTTTCTACTATTTTTTTTTTAAGATTTTATTGGGGAATTGGGGGAGGGGAACAGCGTTGGAGAATCGGGGAAGGGGAATAGACAGGTAGACAAATTGCTGGTTTTTGTTCTTCAATCTAGTTGTGGAGGACGTCGCTTCACTGGCCCATGTTGGTATGATCATTGCGCTCTTCCTGGGTGAGGCAATCGGTCCCCGGCCTTTGGTCAGCCGCTCACTGCAGTTCACAGCAGCTCTCGCCCGCTGCCGGCCACTCACGCTGGCTGCCAGCCACACACGGTAGCTTATGGCAGCCCACTGCAGCAGGGGCTGTGGCCTATGCTGTCTGCTGCGACTCACAGCAGCCCAGCTCCAGGTTGAGCTGTTGTTCATCATCTTAGCTGTAGAGGGCGCAGCGTCACTGGCCCTCAATGTGGGATCTGAACCGTGGCCCTGCTGCTCAGAGCTGGTGCTCCCAAGCGAGCTCTAACCAGCTGAGCCACTCGGCCGGCCCTCTACTATATCTTTAAGTAGAAAAAAACAATATGCAGGGAAGTAGATACAACATATACTATTTTTTAAAAATAAATTACAAATAACCCCACCCCACACACATTTATGTAAGATTATATGAGCATGAGAACATGAAAGGGGACTTCCCAGCTTGTTACCATGGATTTGGGGTGACAGGTGTGGGTGATGAGGGATAGAGGAAAGGAGAGCATCTCCTCCCCCAAAAGACTTAATCTGTCAAATAGCTTCCCTAATGAAAAACAATCATGGTATATGATCCTATTGAGGCAAAATTATGTGTTTTTATGCATAAAGAGATGCAAAAGAAAAATCATAAAAATCATCAAGTAGTTAACCGTGCTATCCCAGAATAGTAAAATTTCATATATATATATATACATACACACACACACACACACACACACACACACACACACACACACATATCATATATATCTATATATCTCCAAATTTTTACAATTATATAATCAGAAATAATCACAGAGTTGGTTTTGTGGTGGGGAATTTTTTAAATTAAAAATACACTTAAAACTTAGAAAAACAAACAAACAAAAAAACTCATGTTCAGGCCTCCCTCTAGGGCAATTAAGAATCTCTGGATGTGGGACCCAAGTTTCTCCTAAGGCTGTGATAAAGCCCTGGGAGTTCCCCCAGGTTATTCTAATGGGCACTCCGGGTAGAGAACCACAGAATGTCTCAGAAAAGTCAACTATGTGTATATATACATTTAACCCCTGCAATCTGGCTTTTTTTTTCTCCAGAGCTACGGGTGATCTAACCACCAGGCAAACCACAACACCATCCTCCAAATCCTCTGTTCGCTTGGTTTCTACCCACTCCCTGTATTTATTCATTGTTCAAAGTCCATCTCAAATACCTGTATTTCACGTAGCCTTCGCCATCTTCCCATGGGCGCAGACCTTCTTTTGCATCTGCTGGCACTGTGTCTCACTCTGAGAGCTGATCCCATTCTACCTGGCTCTGCAGTAGGGTGTTTATTCATTCCTTCCCCCAACAATGAGCAAGCACTTGCCATGTATATCTAACTTCTCCTGCTACACAATAAACTTCTAGGTGAGAAATGTCTGACTTTTCTTTCTACTCTTTGCAGCCTGTAGCACGGTGTCTTGCATATAATAGAGGCTATAATTTTGCCCAATTGTCTTTCAATATATTATGACTTTTCGCTTCCAGCCTGGGTCTACTCTCTTTGTCCCCTCCAATTTGCTGTGTGGTTAGTAATTGGAAAATCAAGCTTTGTTCAAAATATTTTTTCTGGGAACTATCTGTATATGAAGGAGTGTTTGGGGGGCTGCTAAAAACTCCCATGACAATAGGGAACCAGGCACTGTCCTCAGGGATATTCTAGCATGGAAGAAGAGAGAAGACAGGTATATAAATATCTTTAGTCCCCTCCCTCCCCCAAACTCCCCCCCCCCAAAAAAAGGATGAATTCCTAAGAGATGCCTAGATAGTACATTCTGGAAGATTATCTTTTGTGGGGATCAGGGAATATTTCTTGAAAGAGATCATCTAGGAATGGGGCTTCAAAAGACTGCTAACACTTGGATGAACACAGAAGTGAGAGATCGGGAATTCTGGGGGAACAGACAGCATTGTTGGAAATAAGAAAGTAGGGCAGAAGGCTGGGTAATGACGCACAGGTTTTGGCTCAATTACAGGGAGTATAAACTGTGGCAATGAGAGGGTGGGATGAGGGCGAATCGCAGAGAGCCTGAAAAACCAGAAAAGGTTGAGATCCTGTGACTCCATAACATAAGGTTATTAAGTAATGAAATGACAAAAATCCAAAAATTTGTAAAGCATTCATAAGAAAGAGCAACAGTCCCTGAGGAGTTTTCCTATTTGGGAAAGTCATGAGTTTCACTGCAAGGGCTTTATCCCAGCCTTTGGAGAAATGCGGCCACCTTCTCTGCTTGCATCCTGCCTTGCAACCAAGTTCCAAGTAGATGGGATTCACTACAACTCCTTAAAAGTCCTTTTTCTTTTGGCTTTGTGCCACAGGAAGATATCTGTTACTAAGACGCCCTTTTAAAAAGTTTAGAGACGGCCAGCAATTCCACTTCTGGGTTTATATATCCCAAATAATTGAAAGCAGGGTCTTATGTAGATATGTGTAAACCTCCTTTCATAGCAGTATTATTCACAATAGCCAAAAGAAAAAAGCAACGCAATCGTCCATTGATGGATGAATGGATAAACAAAATGTGTCATATACATGTAATGGAATATTATTTAGCCTCAAAAAGGAAGAAATTCTGACACATGCTACAGCATGAATTAACTTTAAGAGCATTATGCTACGAGAAATAAGCCAGTCACAAAAACAAAACAAAACAAAACAAAAAAGCCCAAGAAAACAAAACCTGTATGATTCCACTTATATGTAGTACCTAGGGTAGTCAAATGCACAGTTAGAGTAGAAGAGGGGTTGTCAGGGGCTGGGGGATGTGGGAATGGAGAGTTGCTGTTTAATATGTACAGAGTTTCAGTTTTGCAAGATGAAAAGAGTTCTGGAGATTGGTTGTGCAACAATGTAAATGTACTTAACACTCCTAAATGGTTAGGATGATAAACATTATGTGTATTATGCCACAATTGAAACTTAGAAAAAAATTAAGAGGTGGCACAGGCCCAAAACCTCTTAGACACAATTCTAAAATCCAAAAAGCTCTGAAAACCAAAAGTTTCCATTCCATCTGCTGGGTGCTACAGAATAAATAGCAAATGCAATAGAACATTTATCTTCTAAAAGTCGGAAAAACTCGGAATGCTGAAACACATTTAGCCTCCAAAGCTTGTAGATACAGGACTGCTGACCACTATTCTGATAATATTCCTTTTTCCTTTTTAGGTGAGAGCAAATAGATATTAATTGTGGACACTTCCTCCATCAATTCACTAACTAATGATGCTGTATATTACTGTGGTTCAGGAGTTCTGCTGGTTGTCCTCTGCTTTGGAAAAAAAATAACTGACAACCTCAGTAAAATAATTAGCAGGCAGCTTCCTTTTAGCGACTTCAGGTTTCACTTTAGGACACAACCTGGTGCTGGATTTTGCCAGCCACATGCTGGCACCCCCAGAAAGCCAGACAGGCCAGGCACACCCCAGGGCAGACAATGATTTGGGGACTGCTTACCAGATCACACCTGGGCACACTGGACACAAACTGGGCCCCTTGGCAGCCTAGGATAAATCCAGCTAAATTTAAGAGGACACACACCACTGAGAGCAGCACAAAGAGGTTTACCTGAAACGGCAAGAAAATAGTAGTTAGAAAAAGACGCGAGTTAAATTCAGAAAGGGTTTCATCTCAATAAAACAAACTCGCATTCTCTTCCTAGATGAAGCTTTTTTCTAAAAGTCAGAACCAAGTTTTTCATGCCCAAACATTTTTTTCACTTTTTAAAATGTTTTAAATGTGCTCAGGAATGCCATTTACTTTCAAGTCTTCTCAATCATTTCAAGTCCGTCCCCCCACCCCCTTTTTTTTTTCTTCTTTGCAAATAAGGGAGCTCTGGCTTCCTCTTTTATCTTTTACATTAAGCCATGAACATTTCCTCCTTGAGCCATTATTATTTTTTTCTGAGTTTTGCAGGATCAAAGGTAAATAGACAGGTAAACAGACAAATGGAGAATTCTAGAATATAAGCAGAACCCAGGGAAGTCAAGGAGCTCAGAGCCATTACTAGAGAGAAATTATAGTAGACAAGTGAAAATAAAGATGAATTTTTTTTTTCAGTTCTGACCAGTTTAGGTACTAAAGAATAAGAAATGCAGTGTTCTTCCATGTGCTCGTCCCCAAAGTTACATATTACCTAAATAATTAAGAATTGACAGAAATCAACTCAGAAGCCAGGATTGACTTGGTGCAAATTAGAGACTACAAAGGCTTGTCAACGTGAGAACTATGATTTCTACCAAAATCAAACCTGACGACTAATGCACAAGCAAATATAAAATATTGGAATGATGACTATCAGTGTTAGAACCATGCAACATTTCAGGTAGCTGATCTGTCAGAACGGGCTGGAAAATGGGTCCACAGATCAACTCTCATACAGAAAGCTTGTTCTTTTTTTTTTTTTTTTAAAGATTTTTATTGGGGAATTGGGGGGATGGGAACAGTGCTGGGGGATTGGGGAAGGGGAACAGACAAGTTGCTGTCGTTTTTTTGTTCTTCAGTCTAGTTGTGGAGGACGTTGCTTCACTGGCCCAAGTTGGCACCATCATTGCGCTCTTCCCTGGAGAGGCAGATCAGTCGCCGGCTGCTGGACGGCCGCTCACTGCGGCTGCTGGCCGCTCACGCTGGCTGCTGGCTACACACAGTAGCCCATGGCAACCCACTGCCACAGGGACTGCAGCCTACGCCGCCGTCGCCAGCGACTCACGGCAGCCCAGCTCCAGGTTGAGCTGTTGTTCAGCATCTTAGCTGTAGAGGGCAGTGTCACTGGCCCTCATATGTGGGATCCGAACCGGGGCCCTCTGGCGTCCCAAGCCAGCTCTTAACCATCGCGCCACTCGGCCGGCCCCCAGAAAGCTTGTTCTTTATTGTTAGTATTCCAAGGAGCTTCAAAGCCTCTCCCCACACCCAGGTTATGAGTCAATATTTCATATCACATGATGCCTCTTTTCCTAAGAGGAATTCTTTTTCCCTCTGCAAGAGGAGTCTCGCTCCTGCTTCTCTCCCTTTTCTGTTAATGTGTAAAAGGACTATGCTCTCTGTCATCCAATCTTGGGGGAAATGCTGCCGGCAGCTATTACTGTTTCCCAAGCTAGACTGCTCGGTGCCTGTAGGACTTGACTTGAGCAGCACGTACATACGGCCCCTCTTGCACTGTGCTCTTCATGATCATGCCAAAGCTTTTTGGAAAATGAGATTGCATAGCTGGCACAGGACAGAACAGGGGGTCTTCTCGCATGGGCTTCCTCTACGCACTGGCAGCGGCTACTCAAAGTGGCCTTATATATCTGGAATCTTCACACCAACGACACAGCGATTGTTACGATGGGGAAGTCTTGCACTTCGGAAATTTTCTTTTAATGCAGTGTCAGGTGCCTTAAAAAGAAAGTGTGGTTATAATCCTTATGACCACCGGCACACCACCAATCTTCATAATGAAAACCTAGCAGCATCAGACATAGAATGGGTGACAGGCCATTACCCAACACTAACCCCCAAACCACTTCATTACAATCTTAAATCCAGCCCATCAAATGATACCATGAGGAAAATCAATAGGCAAGCCCCAGGCTGGGAGAAACTATTTCATGCATATGTTAAACAAAGAAGCTTTATCCAGACTATACAAATAACTCAACTCAATAATAAAAAGACAAACAACCCAAATTAAAAACTGGGCAAAAGAATCAAACATATATTTCACAAAAGAAGATACAGGGATGGCCGAGAAGCACATGGAACGGCGTCAACATTGTTAGTCATCATGGATGCAAATTAAAACCACAGTGAGATACCACTTCACAAGAACAAGAATGGTTAAAAGTAAAAAGACTGACCACAGCAAGTGTTGGTGAGGATGAGGAGCCCATGGACTCCCAGACACCGCTTGTCCCGGTAGAAAATGGCACCGCCACTTTAGAAAACTGTTTTTCAGTTTCTTAAAAATTACATATAAACCTCCCATGTGGAGGAATCCCAAATAACTTAGGGCAGAGATACTCTGCCCTCAACTCCCTACGCCTTAAGTGTGGGCTGCACAAAACAAGGTGAGTTCCTTCCAGAGAATTCAGCATGAAAAGAGGAAGAAGAGTAACTTTCTAGTTGGGAAACCTGACATACATGACATCAACCAGGTAACCCACGTTAACATCGCCAGTAAGACATTGACGGCATGTACCCTTGGGATGATATGATGAAAATGGCATTTTACCTCTGGTGGTCTTCCTCTCCCAATACCCATAATAAGCCTAATTATGAGAAAAACAGGAGACAATCCCAATTGAGGTAGGTTCCACCAAATACCTGACAAGTATTCCTCAAAACAGTCAAGGTCATCAAAAACAAGAAACATCTGAGAAATGGTCATGGCCAAGAAGAGCCTAAGCAGACAAAACAACTAAATGCAATGCGGTGTCCTAGGATGGAATTATGGACAGAAATAAGATAGTAGGTAAAAACTAAGGACATCTGAAGAGTATAGCTTTCTGTTGATAGTAATAGTATCAATATTGAGACAAATGTGCCATACTAATTAATGCAAGCTGTCAATAATAGGGAAAATTGGGTGTGAGGTGTATAGCACCATTCTGTACTATCTTTGCAATAGTTCTGTAAATCTAAAACTAGTTTAACATAAAAATTTTATTTGAAAAATGCAAAAAATCTGAATATACACCTACTTGGTGACCTACAATTCTATGCCTAGGAATAGACCCAGAGACATAAGTGCAATTGCTCACAAAAGGACTTACAGAAGAATGTTTATAGCAGCTTTATTCATATTAGACCCAAAATGAAAAGAACTCAAGTATCCAATGCCAGAAGAGTAAACAAACAAATTGTGGTATTTTCAAACAGTGGACTACTTCCAGCAATAAAAAAAGTATAAACAATTCCCACAACAACATGAAATTCCAAGACATTAGATTGAGTAAAACAAGCCAGATGCTGCTGTGTGATTCCACTTACATAACGTTCAAGAACAGACAAAATAGCACGGTGACAAGAATCAGAAGAGTGGTTGCCTGTTTTTATAAAAGAGGTGTGGAATGAGGCGATTGGGAAGAGATAAGGGAATTCTCTGGAGTGATAAAACTTTCTATATCTTCTTTTGGATACTGGCTACCCGGGTGCATCCAACGGTCAAAACTTAGCTAACTGAACACTTATGACCCGGGACAGGAGTGTGAGATCATACAATGAATGGGGCTACTTATAAAATGTCAGAACAACAAACAAGGTGATTCCCAGGGATTCACCATCTGGGGGGCTTCGCTTCTGTCCTGCACTGGAAGGTCTGCCAATGAGAAGTCAGGGCAAAGCACCAGACCCCACTCTTGCAAGCCCCAGAAGGAGCACCTAAGCCGAGGCACATAGGCTGTGTAAAACATCACCATGCACTGTTCCCCAAATTTATTCATGAATATGGCTCTTTTATTATATTATTCAAACTCTGGCCAAACTGATCGGCCAAATGGTCACCTGAATTACTCTAGTGTGGACCACTGCGCATACATCAGACATGGGGGTTATTAGGTTACCAAGCATATGTCTTTCAGACGTTGGATCAGGTTCAGGGTTCAAAATATTAGAGTAATAAGGGACCCATTTAGGATTTACAGGGACCTTCAGCATGGACTCCTCTGGCTTTAACCTAGTTATTATGGGATAACTTCCAAGACCCAAATTTCCATCCCAACCTTCACCAGCTGGTGTCCCCTCAAACAGAAGACTATGAAACATCAGCTACTAATAAAGAATATCAGTCACAAAGCCCACTCAGCCCACTGGAAAGGGAAAGGATTTCTTATGTCACTTACATTGTCAACATTCTTTCCTTTAAAAAACATCATTGCAGGGGTGACCGGTTAGCTCAGTTGGTTAGAGTGTCATGCTGATAACACCAAGGTTACCAGTTCGATCCCCGCATGGGCCACTGTGAGCTACGCCCTCCCTAAAAGTGTCAACTATGCCATTATAGCATGAAAGCAATGTGTAACCAACGACCATGGCTGTTCCCCAATTAAAAAACAAACAATCATTGCAGTGATGCGTTTCTCTTTGTGGAGAGCACCTGATTGTGAAATCGGGAGACCTGGTTCAAATTCAGGCTTTCCCACTTGTTTGCTGTGATATCTTAGGCAATCTCTGTGAGACTCGCTTTTCTCATCTGTTAAATGGATCTATCTTTCAACCTATCTCACAAGATTATTGAGAGAATCACACAAAATTATGTATGTGAAAGTCCTTGGTAAACTGCAAAATGCTATGTAAGAAGTTGCATGATTATTTTTTTTTTTAAAGATTTTTATTGGGGAATTGGGGGGATGGGAACAGTGCTGGGGAATTGGGGAAAGGGGAACAGACAAGTTGCTGTCGTTTTTGTTCTTCAATCTAGTTGTGGAGGATGTCGCTTCACTGGCCCAAGTTGGCACCATCATTGCGCTCTTCTCTGGTGAGGCAGATCAGTCACCGGCTTCTGAACGGCCGCTCACTGCGGCTGCTGGCCGCTCACGCTGGCTGCTGGCTACACACGGTAGCCCATGGCAATCCACTGCCACAGGGGC